AAGTAGGTTAGTTACTTTGTTCCAGTTCTTCTAATGAAATCTTTCCTTGGGCTACTAATATAAAATTCACTTTTGTCAAATAGAATCAAACACAGGTTTAATGAAACTGAGTGAAAGACTTAAAGGCACTAACACTTACTTCCTGTGTGTTCATGTCCCAGAACACCTTTCAATGAGGATTTGCCATTCTCCTCATTTTTGGCCAGGAGAATGTAGGTAGAATGTGAGGCACCTTTTTCCAGGCCTGACTCACACAGACCTCATGAAAAATGGATTTAGTATCAAAACAAACAAGTACTGTTTGATTTAAACATTGCATTTCTATACTTTTGGGCCAGGGAAGGGAAATCCCAGTGGATGGCTATTCACTACTGCCTTATTTTGAATGCCTCAAATGGAAATAATGTAGATGCTGTTTAATGAGTGGAATGCTAAGAACAAAGTACATCACAGTGCATCCACATTTCAGCATTCCCTACAACAGAAGGGGATGGACAGTGGGAATGAGCATGAGTGAACCTCAAGGAAACAGTGTTGTGACGAAGGCCAACCTGGGAAGTTGATGTGATGTGATGACTCCATGAGATAAAGTTCAGAAGTGAAAACATTTTAAAAATGGAGGCGGTATCTTTGATAAGTACTGGGGATGGGGTAGAGAAGGAAGATGGGTGCAACTATTAAAGAGAGAACATCAGTTTACCTGAGATGCATTTGTGGAGGTAAATTATGCTGGCCACACCACAAGCTGACTAGCTTCTCTCTTTTACTACCTAAGCATCTCCAAAAGGTGACTTGAAATAACACTTGAATTGGAGGAAGGCAGACCGTAGTCTTAGAATGTGTTCATTGATCTGACATCTTACATTTGATGAAGTTAACTCAGAGAGGGACATAAAGAACAACAATGTTGGAATGAAGCCCTGGGAAGAACTCAGATTCATCCCTCTTCCAACACAGGAAAAAATTATGATGATTTATGTGTTTCCTTAGAGTCTGAACATAACTTTGAGATGCATAATTCTCTGAGAAATCTCTTCTCTCGACAGCACTTTCGTTAGAGCTGCCTTCATGGCTTTGTTTCTCAAGCTATAGATAACTGGATTGAGTGTTGGAGGTATCACAGTGTAGAAGATGGAGAACATGAGGTCCACAGCTGACTGGGAATCTGATGGTGGCCTTAGAAACTCAAAGCCTGTGGTAGAGAGGAAGAAGGTGACTACAAACAAATGGGGTAGGCAGGTGGAGAAAACCTTGGTCCGACCATCAGCTGAGGGCATTCTCAGCACTGCTGAGAAGATCTGAACATAGGAAAATACAATGGAGATCAGACAGGCAAAGGCTGTAGAGGTTGTGAATGCAGCCATTGCAATTTCATTGATGAATGTGTGAGAACAGGCTAGTTTCAGCATTTGGGGAATGTCACAGAAGAACTGATGAATAATTCTATCCCCACAAAGAGGAATTGAGAAGTTAACGGCTGTGTGCATGAGCCCAGAGAGGCCTCCTGCCACCCACACTGCCAGCACTGCATACCTGCAGGCACGTTGTTCCATTATTGTCTCATACAGCAGTGGACGACAGATGGCCACATACCTGTCATAGGACATCACTGTGAGGATGGCCACTTCTGATGAGGCTAGAGCTATGAAGAAGAAAACCTGCAGCACACACTGACCAAGGGAGATGAAGCCAATGTCCAGGATGGAGTTTGCAATGGACTGGGGAACAGTGACAGAGATGAAGCAGAGGTCCAGAAGAGAGAGGTGCTTCAGAAAGTAATACATAGGGGAGTACAGACGATGGTCCAGAGTGATAACGATGATGATGAGCAAGTTGCCTGTGAGAGCCAGTAGGTAAGTCAACAAAAACAGTACCACATGTAAAATCTGAAGCTTACGCTCATCAGAGAAGCCCATAAGGAGGAATCCAGTCTTGGAGGTTACATTCACCATGGTTGCTATGTTTAGGAAAAGAACATATAATAGAAATCCTAAGGGTGATCAACAAGCAAGAATTTTCTGGAGTGGAGCCTGAGTTATTAAACTGAGAAAAATGAAATAAAGTGGTGAGAATGATTTTACTCTCAATAAAACCAGTGAAAATGAGGTTGATCTAGTAGTGTTATTTCTTCTACATGCACTGAAATGACAAAATGCAGCCTTGTCTAAGGACCAGAAATAAAGGTACTAATAGACCCTTATAAATGTGTTAGGAACAGTCCACATGCAATGGAAGGAGAGATGTCAGTTCAAAGGCCAATCATGTTTCTTGTCTCTGAGAGGATTTAACTTAAAAAAAAAAAAAAACATTTAGCCAGACGTGGTGGCACATGCCTTTAATCCCAGCACTCAGGTGGCAGAGGCAGGCGGATCTCTGTGAGTTCAAGGCCAGCCTGGTCTACATAGTGAGTTCCAGGACAGCTGGAGCTACAGAGAGACCCTGTCTCAAAAAATAAAAAAAAAATTAGTGGGTATGAACATCTCAGATTAACCTTGAAGAATAAGTAAAATCATTTCAAAATATTGGGTGTCAGTAATAAAAAATAAAATAAAATACATGTTTAAGACAGTGTAACACTGGGCATTGAATTCTGCTTGGAATTGTAACTTCAGATACCAAGCGACAGAGGAGTAAGATCACCAGAGAACACCTTTTAATTTTAAAAATATTTAGTAGAACTAGAATGAGCATTTTCAATGAAATTCATTTGAACAAATGAATTTTCTGAAATTAATTTGTTTCTATGTAATGGGCATAGTGCTGGATAGGGTATAAAGGTCTTTACAGCATTAACTCTCATTGTGATCTCCTCAGTGGAATTGCAAAACACTCATTCACTCCACCAGCTGTCCTTTTTCTTCCTGAAATCTATGGACTTATTGATGGGTCAGTTAGTGGTATTATCACTGAGTTCTTGGTAACTGAGGCGGTTCCTTCAATAAATCGTTCCCCAATTCCCACCTTGACAGTGGTATCTAACATACAGACAAAAACACATATTTACTTCACTGAGACTCTACATGTTAAACTTCAGTTCTTTACAGATGAAATCCCTGCAATTAAGGTGCATGACCATTCCATTGGAGACTGTGTGTGCCCCACTAGTTAATCCCTAAACAACAGAGAATAAAGACTAATCATCACTTGACTGGGACTCTTACTGTTTTCCTGCGATTATTTTGAAAAGTAACTGAAATAAATTTTGGAGGTTTATTTATGTAGAAGGCATAGTCTGGGAACTCAATTCAACTCTTGTTCTTCAAAAGGCTTCTGCAGACTTCTGGTTCTTAACTTTTCCCTACCCTGTCAGTGAGAATAGTCTCACTATTGTTTTTAAACCAATGATTGGCTTAATCTGTTACAAATACTGTGTGGTATTGTTTGAATTGAAGATAAAAATTAATGCATTAATGCAATTGAACCATGTTTCTAAAATGTGTCACTGACTTGAAAATTAAACTCAACATATATTTCTTATCTCTAATACATTTTATCAGTGTAACCTAAGAAAAAATTCATCTTTTAATTTTTATGGTAAGGGGTTTTCTGTAGGAGAAAGGGGGAGGAAAAATTCTGGAAAAAAGCTTTAATGTGGTGGTACACACACACATAAGCATGCACAAATGCACACATGCACACATACAAACATACACGTGCACACACAGTCACATAAATATGCACAAAACATGCTCATAAACATGCACACACACGCACACATATGAATGCACAAATCATGCACACACATTGACACATATCAAAATACACATATAAACATGCAAACATATGTGTATAGAAACATGAACACACAAACATACACACATGCATATACAAACAATCATACACATGCATACAAACACACATGTATATTCAGAAACATGCACAAACATGCATGTACTCATGGATACACACAAACATGCACACACATATGCATACACTCACACAAAAATATTCACTGAAAGTCAATGAATAGCCCAAGAAAACCTCAAAAATATTTTTTAATCCTTAATTTTAAAGAGTTATGATGGAATGAAATATTCATTTGTTGAATAGTATTGTGATGCTTTTCAGTGTTGTTTAATCTACACAAAGACTTTCTCATTGTGACTTCTCTGATCCTGCCAAACACTGTCTAATAATGAATTCTTAGATTAATTTAGAGGAAAAGTCACCTTAGAAGGCTCTGTTGCTTTTATTCATATTCTGATTCTGTCTACAATTCCTCCTCCAAGACTCCCCATGCATTTTCTTTGAAAATATTTATTCATTCTCATTTAAAATTCCCCTGAATTTAGTAGACAGCCCAAGCAAGACTGACTACTTGTAGGAGCCCATATTGCATCCAATGAGATTACCATAATTCATTTGATTTAATCACTTTGTAGCATCTATTTTCCAGCCTATTTCCACTGTTCTTTGTTTGAGGAAGGAAATTGCACATCTTATTTGAAGTCATATCTGTGGTTACTGAAATGAATGAAGACACACACAACCTAAAAGTCAGATAAATTCTGGAGAATTTGGAGGCATTTTACTCACCAGTTTAGATCTTACACAATAGGAATGAATTGCAATGGATCCTTGAGACACAATACTTTGTTCTAGAATGAGTTATGGATTTTTCATGGGGGATAGGACTAAGGTTCTTTCTTAAAAGACTGAATAGTAAGCAAGGGACACTTTAAGCCTATGGCACCTGAAGTGAGGTCAGCTGCTCAGGCACCAGGAGTTGTTCAGAGAGGCTGGTTTCCAGATAAACATCATAAGTGTAAAGTGTGAAACTTTGTGGAGGTCTCCCTCAGGGACTCACCCAGTGGAGGATGACTAATTATCCTGTGGCTTAACTAAATGTTTTGGTTGCATATTCCAGATAAGGAAAATGAATAGTATTTATAACATTTTTTCCTGCAGATTATGTTCACAAATTTCTGTAACAGGAAGTATTTTTGTTTATCTTACTTCAATTTCAATGCTAATTGCTAATGACCATTCCTAATTCCATTACATGAATTCTCAAAACGAAGACTCTTAGCATTAAACAATTTTAGCCTTAGATATAATCTAAGCTTCATTCAAACACTATGTCTTTTCTAAAATCATTATGAAGTTAATACCAAACTTCCATTCTAACAATTCATGAGGTTTACATGTGGAATATCTCTCATAGGCTCATGTGTTTGAACACTCTTTGCCCATCTGGTATCCTTGTTTGGAAGATTGTGGAATCATTAGGAGGTGGAGTTTCTCTGGAGGAAGTTGTTCACTTGAGGAGGACCTTCAGGTCTTCAGGTCCTGCCTCTCTGCCTGTCTACTCTGTGCTTCTTGACTGTGGACACAGTATAACCAGCTGCCTCCTGCTCCTGTCAGCATGCCTTACCCACCATAATGGAATGTACCTCCTCAGAGTTGAAGACAAAATAAGCCTTTGTTCTTTAAGTTGCTTTTCATCAGGCATTTGATCAGAGCACTGAGAAAAATAACTAATAGACAAAGTATTTTAGTCCTGAATTCAATCTAGTAGATCTGGAGTTCAGGTACTCAGAAATTTGTAGTCAAAGTCCCAATCCTGGTGGGGGCAGCCCATCCCCAGACTCATTCTGTGATTATTTCTCAGACCCTTAATGAATGCCTGACCAGGACAGATTACTCAGAAGCTGGCAGAATCCTCATATTGGTTCCTTGACTTGGGGGTTAGGCTATTATAATTGGACATGCCAACGTGAAATCATTAGAGCCACAGCTATCAGGACAGTACTGGACCAGAATAGCATTACAGTCCTTCAGGGATTACAGAGAGCAACACCATCATTATGGACCTGAGAGATGCGAGGTGGTAGTTCTTGGTGTACTTGCCTTGAACTCTTCTGTTTTGTTATGCAGCACACAGATGGATCATGGAGAATGATAGGTGATTGCCACAGACTTAAATAAGTGACTCATCTTAACACGGAACCTGGTAGCAGGGATTGAATTAAAAAATGCTTTGCTTCCATATCTCTTTACTAGCCTCACTGGAGGAGTATTTAAGGAACCTGTGGTGGTTTGAATGAGAATGTCCCCCATAGGCTCCAAATATTTGGACATTTTATTCCTAGTTGGTGGTGCTGTTTTGGGGGGTCTTAGAAGGAGTGGCCATGCTGGAGAAGGCAAGTCTCTGGGGGTAGATGTAGAGAGTTCTAAAGCGTTGCCAGATCTTAAGCCTTGCCAGATCTCTTGTGCCTGCTTGAAGATGTGAGCACTCTGCTTTCTTCTCCTGTTCCAGCCACCTTCTGCCACCATGCCTCCCCACCATTACAGACTGTAATTTCCCTGGAACCATAAGTTCAAATAAACTCTTATGACTATAAGTTGCTTGGGTCAATGTTTCTATCATAGCAACAGACAAATGACTAACACAGTAATTGGTACCAGAAAATGGGCTGTTGGCTGTGAAAAACCTGACCATGTGGGGTTTTAGAGGAACATGGAAAACTTTGGAAGTTTTGGCTAGAAAAATGATTGATTACTGTAAATAGAGTTTAAAAGAAGGCTAAGTTGAAAAGCAATGGACTAATTTCTTTGGTGGAGGATATTTCAAGGCACTCTAATATAAAAATGTTGGCATGGCTATTATTGTTGAGTATTATGTAGATCTACAGTGTAAAACAGCAAATAGGACAGAAAGAAATACAAAATGTACAGTTCAGATTAAAAAAAAAGCACTAGGAAGATTAATTTTGGAGTCAAGGCATGTGCTGAAGGAGAGGATCACTTTGATAAGGAGATTAAAATGATTAAGGAGAGGCCTAGAGAGTTGTACTTAAACAGTGGAGAGAGTGCCTCCAAGGCAAGACCACACCCAACTAAGTCTCCAACTTGTAAAAGGAAAAGATTGCAGGGGTTTTCTACTAGAAAAGCACTGAAAAGAAAAATTTCTAAAATGGATAAAGCAATTTGGGGTCTATCCCAAACTTGT